CTCAGGAGTTCAAGCTGTACCACGGAAGGGAGGGGCGGAGTTTACATTGGGAAGGCGGTGTTAAAGAACAATGTCTTCGTCCTCGCCTTCGTCCCAGACCAAGGCACCGCCGACAGCGACGGAATCGTCACCTTTATGTCCTGGACACACCCGCCGGATCTCGATCCCGACTTCAGCCCCGGCGGTTTTTGGTACTCGAACACCATACCTGAAGCAGAACGAATGAGAGCGTTAGCAACAATCCAACAACCGGCAGCAGCAGAGACAACATCGGCAGCAGCAGAGACAACATCGGCAACAGTAGAAACACCATTGGCAGCAGCAGAGACAACATCGGCAGTAGCAGAGACAACATCGGCAGCAGCAGAAACAACATCGGCAGCAGCAGAGACAACACCGGCAGCAGCAAAAACAACACCACCAACAATCGCAGGCCCTTCAACAACAACAGTCTTGATCAACGACACGCCACCGACTCCTGCGCAACAGCTGACTCCCACTTCACGGGAAGTCCACAGAAGCGCAAACTTCACCGCAATTTTTTATTCCAACTCCGTCCTGTACAGACGTTCACCTGGACATCGCACCAGCGAAGTCATCTGGCATGCAAGGATGGGACACCCGAGCAACACAACGTAAAATAATACGATAATAGCAGGAGTACTTGACAAAGACTCAATACCTCTACACGATGGCAGAGACCTTAAACGAGTCCGCGGAACATGTTTTACCTGCACTGAAGTCGAATTACCGCATCAGCCATTCGTTTCTCACCACAATCCAAGCGCGCCACTATACGCACTACTGGAAAAGGTGTACAATCGTGAACCCAGACAAGGAGCCTACAACTACGTCATCACGTTCATCGACGCTGCCAGACGATATGTCTGGCATCTCAACCTTCCGAGCCGCGACATGGCCTTCGAAGCTTTCGTCGCCTGGCTTCCAGCAGCAGAACGGGAACTAGGAGTGAAGCTGAAAAGCTTCCAGTCAGACGGGGGAGGGGAATATCAGTCACAGAGGTTCAAAGACTACCCAGCAGAAAGAGGCATCAAACGGCTCATCTCTCTTCCTTACTCCCATCAACAGCAAGGCGTGGCAGAAAGGATGAACAGAATCCTTCTGAACACCATGCGCAAGCTACTACATGGCATGCGGCTACCCAACCATTAGTGGCCCGAAGCAATGGACCATGCCGTGATGCTGCACAACTTGCTTTCGTCATCATCGCTCCCGAACAACGCATCACCGCATCTGCTGTGGACAGGAAAATTGGGCAGCACAAAAATGTTGCGAGTGTTCGGCTGCATGGTACAGTACCGACCCCGAGCCGCACGAGCCGGCCGATTCTCCCAACGCGCACAGTGGGGACTGCACCTGGGCATAAAAAAACACTACAACGCATGGAAGATTTTCGACGTCCATACAAAGGAAATGGTAGCAGCACGTGACGTGATCATCTACGAGCGACTCACCCTTTAGTCATATCTTGCCAACCTGGAAGAACAACAAGACCTCACAAGTGGATTTCATGGTGATCGAGCCTTTGCCTCGGCAGCAGACGAAGCTGACTGGGACGAGCAGAATGTGGACGGAGCCTCGGAAGAAGCCGGACCTATCCCATACTGCTGGGTCGACGTACCGATGGATGACGACAATCCTCGCGAAAGCGTCAATCAATGCTGAATTCTTCTACAATCTCGACGACGAAGGTTACGTTACACCCGACAGGGTCAACGCCGACGAAGCAGAACGCAGAAGCAGGAGACAAAGCAGTCTATCCCGAGAATGAAAATCTCCCTCGATACACACGGCGTGGACTGCAGATACTGGGACTTGTCACCGCGGTCCACGGTGCGGCGCCACCTAAGGAGCCTGCCACGGTTCAGCAGGCTCTGGGGGGGGAGCACAGGGAAAAATGGCGCGAAGCCATGGACAGGGAGTTAAAGGCGCTGGAAGAACGCAACACCTGGAAGGTCGTACCCATTGGAGTGGCACGCAACAAGACAATACTCACCAGAAAGTGGGTTTTTCGTGTGAAAGCAAAGGCAGACAGAACCATCGACAAATTTAAAGCGCGCTGGGTCATACGCGGCTTCGACCAAAAGCACGGACGAGACTTCACTGAAACATTCGCGTCGGTCGGCCGGCACACCGGATTCTTCTCGCGATAGCCGCTATGAAGCGAAGGAAACGTCGTCAAATCGACGTCGCCAACGCTTTCCTCTACGCCTCGTCAATGCTGAGATCTTCGTCGAACAACCGCACGGCTCCAATGCAGACCCCCCCAAGTTTGTCATATGCTGAAGTCCCTGTACGGAATCAAGCAAGCTCCAAGGCTGTGGCAGCAGTACCTACACGCCCGACTAATCCATATCGGATTCTGCCAACTACCGCACGACCAGGGCATGTACCGACTCACAAAAGGCACCGACTACATCTTGCTTATCATCTACACGGACGATCTGCTCTACATCGGTTCGACCGACGGCGTCACAACCTGGTTCGAAGGGGAGCTGCAGCGGGACCTAATGCTCACCGTAACATCCACCTTAATATAGTATCTCGGGCTTAACATACAAGAAGGGGAGAACGCGATCTATCTCAGCTCCGCGAAATACGCCGACACCATTGCCAAGCGCTTCGGACCAAACCCAGCCACAATCTCCACGCCATACCGCTACACCGCCAGAAATCACAAGGAAACCTCCGCTCCGCTCAAGCCCGCCGGCATACGCGACTACCAGCGAAAACTAGGATGACTGCTCTTTGCAGCCGTCACCTGCAGACCGGACCTATCGTAGTCAGCGAGCCAACTCACCACCTACCTTAGGAAACCTGAATCAGAGCACACGGCGGAGCTCAGCCGTGCACTTCACTACCTCGTCAACACCCCGACAATCGGCCTGACCTACCACAAAACCAGATCTACGATGCTTAAGCTGATTGGCTATGTGGATGCTGATCGCGCCGGCGACTCCGACAACAGGCGCTCGCGCACCGGCTACATCTACCGACTCGAGCCTATCGGGCCTATCTCGTGGCAGTCGAGCAAACAAGAACTAATCGCCCTCTTCTCAGCTGAAGCATAATATATTGCGCTCTGGTCAGCCACCAAGGAAGGACTGTATCTTCGCGAAACTGATGGAAGAAGCGAAGTTGGCCCAGTTACCCAGCTTCTCCCTGTTCTGCGACAACCAATCCGCAATTCGCATAGCGAACAAGAATGGGCTCACAAACCGGACGAAGCACATCGCCCTGCGGTACTTCTTCGTGAAAGACGAGATCGAGAAGGGGAGACTCGAGCTATCCTACTGCCCTACATCTGAGATGGAAGCCGACTATTTGACCAAGAAGCTCGGAAAGCAGAAGTTCGAGTATTGCATGCTGCTGACTGGACAAAGCCACGTCGCTAGCAACGACACTCCAGAAGTGAAGGGGGGTGTTGGAAACAAGTGATTAACGCTTCTTATGTGTCGTAACTTCAGACTGAACAACAGACTGTAAACGAGGCGAACTACAGTGCAACAATGGCGAGATAACTGAGGAGGTTGACAGAAAAGCAACAGCCAGAGGTTATGCGAAGGTCAAAGGTCAGCGACCTTTGACTCGACAAATACAGCGCGACAGCAAGGACAAACAACTGACTCGATATTGAGCAGTTGCCCGAGTCGTCACTGTATCGAACCGCAACAGCAACAGTAAAACAGTTATTGCATCCCTTCATATTCCTTGTAATCTTATAAAATGCTACTTTCTATAATCGACCTATCTTGCCTTTACATACTAGCGCAAGGTGGTTCAACACTTGTCATTAAACGCTTCCGCAATTACAAATATTCCTACTAGAATTTTAGCCTTGAAAAGATCCGAAGGGCTTTCTCAGCCCAACAAAATGAAATGCCAGCCGTGGTGTCGTCGTCGTCGTCTATGTTGTTGTCGTCTTCGGGACGTACGAAGGAGAAGTGGTCGGGATCGTCGCAGATCCAGCACTCCTACCGTCGACTACTACCCCCGCGACCTTTGTCACGCATCGAGTGCGTTTGGTCGGCGTCCTTCACCAACCTCCTACCTCCGCTACCACCTCCAGCTGGCTTCCCGCGCTGCCCCTGTGGACGACGCTGCCTCGTTGGGGCGACGTAGTTCGCCCGCAAAAGGAGCTCAGTGGACCTTTCGGACACCTTCATGAACTTGTCGTTGATGATATGACTCGACAGTGTGTCCTTGCTGAGCGACTAACGTGCGTTGGGTATTGCCGGCACATCAGATTGTAACTCGTCGGAAGACCCTTGATGACGTGCGTAATATAGGAGGCCGTTGAGTAGTCAACACCCGCCATCCGCAATTCATCCAGAATAAGCTGAGCATGGTTGCAGCACTCGGTCGTCGACTCCTGCTCACCAATCCTGATGTTCATAAGTTTCTGCTCCAGTTGGCCGATGATTCACAAGTTGCCAGTCGACTTGTACGTCCGCATGAGGAACTGCCATGCTTTGTAGCCAGCATCCACCCAAAGTCTGCAAGGCTTCGCCGAATCTTTTAATCACAAGCTTCGTTATTTGTTTTCCACGTGACTATGTTTTACAACTTATAATAGGTTGCAACTATTGTATAAAAACAAACCAGTTCGGTTAGGTACCTGCTCATGCCTTAGCATCTGTGCGATTCATGGGATGAGCCTTTTCTATTGCGGCGAGGTGCGATGTTGTGCCTGTTAGAGCGGCTCTTTTACACTTCTCTACGTTTGGGTATGATTTGGAGCAAAGTCGTCACATACGGAAAATTTTCGGGAGCCGAATTGTCAAATATCCCACTTCGGGATTTCCGACATTTCACCTCTCTTGAGTCCTCACCCTCAGATCGCTTTGCGTGCCGATTTATAGGCTACAATTACCCACACAAATTCTGTTGTAGAACCATAGACTACCTTACGGTCTCTTGAATGTGTCAAATCTGTTGTCGGGTATTCTCGTCGGCCGTGTAAGCATGAAAATGCAACGATGCAGAGCAGTGACGGACCGTACGTACAATGAGCCATCAACAGCTTCGGACATACTTTACAAGGTTTGATTTACAGCACTAGCTGAGTTCTACTATGAGAGAAAATCACGTAATTCTCCATCAAATTCTCACTCCATTGGGTATGGCCAGGTGGTGTAGTACCTATTGCGCGATTCAAGTGTAGCAAGCAAATTTCGAGACGGGTACGACCATTGAGAAGTTGTTATGAGTGTAGGGGGAGAATTATGTGACGATAAAGTGAAGATGCATCGGGTGTGCCTGTTGCTGCATCTGCCGCTGTGATTGTGCCTCCTTAAACTATTCAGGCCGAGGAGGCCAGCAGCGACGACGAGGAGTGGGAAACAAAATCGGTACACCGATTTAAGGTGGCCACGCAGTTGCTTCACCACGACAAAAAGGGCGAATCAGGGACGGCATCACGGCAACAAAGAAGGTGCGGCAGGAGAGCAGGGGCTAACGAGGGATCCGAGAAGCTGCAGGTGCTGTCGCGGGAAGACATGTTGCACTACGTGGATGTGAGAGATGCGTGGGACCGGCAGGAGTGCGAGTGCTGCTTCGACCGCGCCGTCAGCTACCGCGCACAGCTCGCACTTCGCATGGTGGGCCTGGCGGGATTCCGTTCCCTCCTTCTGGCGCATTCGCCTGACTCCATCCCGCTTGTCCCTTTGAACCATCCATCCAGCTCCATTGCTGAGTATTCTGCAGGGGTACACACGAAGCCTCTAGAGTGTTCGCCGCCTCAGCCGGTGTTGGGCGTCAAGTGCGTGGTGGCGCCCATGCGCTGTGCCGAGGCCATGATTCTCGAGTGGATGGCGGAGCCTTGTGTGGGCGTGCTCATGGACCTGGGGAGGATCAGATCCCGCCTGCCTACCATTCTGGCCGCCACAGATGCTGCTACAACTGCGCCTGCCCCTGCAACAGCTGCTGGTTCTGCTGCTGCTAATGGAACCTGGGCTGCTCGCTGGGATGCCTACCGTCGGGCTGTCAGCTTCGCTGCGTTCCTCGTGCTAGTAGCGAGGTGCCCGCGTGTTGTGAACTTGAGAAGGGTGTCGCTGTCTGCAAGCTCCGCCGCTTATACTGCTGTCGTGCAACTGGGAACGGCCAGGCAGTTCGAAACCGACTGCTTAGCGTCCATGCTGGTGCAGGTGCTCGGGGTGAAGGAGAGAGCTGAGCTGCAGGAAGGGGTTGGGTTCTACGTGCAGCATGTGCTGTCAGGCGGGCTGGAGAAGGTGCACGCGGAGGGGAGGGGAGGACCTGGGGGGGAATCTGCTGAGGATGCGCAGGGGGAGGAGGGACAGGCGGATAGCGAGGTGGGCGGATAGGGGTGGGGGCATGGAAAAGGAGGAGAAGCAGGGGGGTGACCTGGCACGGTTAATTGCGACACATGGTGATGCTGGTGGTGGGAGGGGCAGAGGGGAATTGGCATAGCAGCGAGGCGAGCAGAGGGGAAGAGAGTCGCAGCAACGACGCGAATAATGCAGCTGCTGGGGAGGGTAGCAGAGGGGGGAAGAATGGGCTGTGGAGGGAGAATCTGAAGGGGCGTGAGTGGGAGAGGTATGTGGATGGCATGGCTTGGATTCTAGCTCATGGAGGTGGGGAAGGGAGGGAGTTTAGATGCAGCCACTGCAGCGAGGATGGGGGCAGCAACAGTGGCGGTCATGTGCAATCGAATGGCGTCCCAAAGGGCATGTATGTGAGTGGAGTAGGCGCCACGGATTTCGCTCTTGCTTTGGCCCTGGAGTTGTCCAAGCCAGAGAGCTGTATGGAGGCAGTTCTGTACATGCTGGACGGGAACGATGCCAACAAGGTGAGAGTGGAAGAGGCAGCAATCGAGGAGGCTAGAAGCAGGCTGAGAAGAGGGGTAGGTGGAAAGGGCAGGAATTGCGGTTCAGGAGGAATGAGTGGAGAGTGGACAGCAGCAGACATGCATGGAAAGCAGACACGAGTGGGGCAGCAGACACAAGTGGGGCAGCAGACATGAGTGGGGCAGCAGACACGAGTGGGGCAGCAGACACGAGTGGGGCAGCAGACATGAGTGGGGCAGCAGACACGAGTGGGGCAGCAGACACGAGTGGGGCAGCAGACACGAGTGGGGCAGAAGACACGAGTGGGGCAGCAGACACGAGTGGGACAGCAGACACGAGTGGGGCAGCAGACACGAGTGGGGCAACAGACACAAATGGGGCAGCAGACACGAGTGGGGCAGCAGCAGACATGTGTAGGCCAGCGTAAGTATCAGCAATGGGGGATGCCTCACTTACCAGTGCTGATGTTCCAGCTGAATCCCGACCTTTACAAGTCGATGGCACTGGCAGCAGCTACAGCTCGGGTCTCCTGCCGGTAAACACAAGTCATGTCCTCGCGGCCTTCACGTATCGAGTTGCCCGCATCTTACATTGGGTTCGGTTCTACGGTTCAGATATCCTCTTCGTGAAAAGGAGCAGGCGAGAGAAGGGAATACTGCAAATGCCCCATCCGTTTCGAGACCTCCTGAGCCTGCTTCTCAGGCTCGGCGCCATCCCCAAGCCTCTTGATGATGCTAATTTTCCTATGGAGTGGGAGGAATGGTCGCAGGGCGATGAAGCTACTATGAAGCTTCCCGATGATCCCGATGCGAGATTCTTTCGGCTGGGTATTGTGGAGGAGAGTGCAACAGGATTGGAGAGGGGGCGAAGGGTAACAGAACAAGATTCAAGCACGTTAGGGAGAAAGGGCGAAGAGCCAAGGCATCTGGCCAAGCAAGTGACGTCAGAGGGGGTGATGTGAACAGAGGGTTTGGCAAAGACGAAGGAGGCGTTTCACATGCATTCGGCATGGCTTCTGCGCGGCCGTTGCCAAGAGGAAAGGTGCCCATCATCCAGTGCGTGGAGGATGCAGAGTTCATGATGAATGCCATCAGCCTCATTGCGAGCCCACCCGCATGCGCCAGCTGCATCCGTTGCTACCGCAGCTAGACCTCCTTTGTCCCATCCATCGCTCTCATCGCCAAGTTTGCCTACCGCCCCCTCGACGTCCTCGTTGACCACTTTCTATCCGTCTTCCCGCCGCACTCCGCTGGGTTCGACTTGCTTGTAAAGGCTATGGGGTTGTCGTCATTCCCCCTGGGCCCGCCTGCGCTGGCCAACCTGGCAAGGCTGCGTGGGGAGATCGAGGCGGAGCACCTGGGCTTCTTCATGTTCATGGCCCTCACGTGGCCCGCCTCCATCCTGGATCTGCCGCAATTCGAGAGCAAACGGGCGGAGGAGGGGGATGGGATCCAAGTGAACAAGAAGGTGGGGAGGAAGAAAGGAAAGTCACGAGGGGAGGAGGAGGAGGAGGATGACGGGGAGGTGTGGGAGGAGTTGCAGTCGTGGTGCTACACGGCGTCAATTGCGTGGCCGTCTGTCATGCGCATTGCATAGTTGAGGAATCCCGATGGCGAGTCGGCAGGTTCAGGTCTGAGTGGTGTGTGCACGGGCAGTGAAGGGCGGCAGAAGCGGGCGGACTTGGACACGCGGAAGGCCAATATGATCAATACAGGGGCGGCAAAGAGGATCAGACAAAGGGTGCGAGACCGCGATTGGGCTGCGTGGAGAAGCCGCACTAGCAGCAGCGGTAGTAGTGCAGTCATGGGAAGTGGCGCTACTGCTGGTATTGGCAGTGTCAGTGATGGGAGCAGTTGCAGAGGGGATGGTGCTGGTGCTTGTGCTGGTGCTAGTGTTGCTGTTGGTGCTGATGGTGGCAAGAGCACTGGGCGAAAGGGAAAGAAGCCGGAGCTACCACCTTACATGATTTCATGGCCGGGGGGAGTCAATCTGGTGGCGTGTCTGCGAGAGATGCTGCTGTGGGAGCCATGCTACCGCCACCCCTTCCCAGCTGCCCCTTCCGTCCGTTCTGCTGTTGCCAACACCACTACTGCATCACCAACCACAACCGCTTCTGCCTCTTGCACCCTTGCTGCTCCAACAACTGTTCCTGCTCCGAGCACTGCTGCCTCGTCTGCCCAACCACCTTGTCAACCCATGATGCCGCCTCCACCCATGCGTCCCTACCTAATGGTTCTGCAACGTGCACTGCAGCTGCAGCCGCACCTGTAGCAGGTGCAGAGGTATATGGTCCCGATGCTCCCAGGGGAAGTAGCTGCGGTGCTGCGGGGTGTGGGAGTGTGGAGGGTGGTGGTGTGAAGCTGAAGAGCTGCAGTGGGTGTGGTAGGGTGGGGTATTGCAGCAGAGACTGCCAAAAGGCGCACTGGCCCTCCCACAAGCTCACATTCCCTGGCAGGACCAACAGGATGAATGGGAAGGTGAGTGATAAAGCAGTGGCAAGGTGAGTGGCAGAAGGAAAGTGGACACCGCAAAAAGGTATGGTAAGAGTATCCACAATGCATCCTGCCTTAACGCCGCTGTCTGCATTTAGCCTAGGAACCTGAAAGCCTCGGACTTATTTGGCTTGACGAGTGAGCAGGTCAAGCGCTCTGCTGAACTTCTTCAATTTGGTGGGACCCAAGAGTGCAGAGATCTTAATTTGGGGGGTCGGTGGGATGAAAGGCATCCAAGAGTGTAAACGGTCTGGACCAGAGTGAGCAGGAGCCCTAGTCTGATCCAGAGGGGGCAAGTGAGGTATCACCAGGAAGTTCTACTACACGGAACACAAGATACGGCAATCGAGCAAGTTCATAGTGATCCAGCAGTAGCAGCGAGGGAGGTCAGCTAGCGGGTAACACAGGGAGGAGGAGAGCAGAGGCCTGCAGGAGGGAGTAGCGGTGGTACAAGGAGAAGGGCCACACAGAGAGTTTCCGACAGCTGTCGCGGTATTGCGGAGCCAAGAGGGCCCCATAATGACCGGGACAGCGCAGAGGCGTTATGGGCAGTAGAGCAGCAAGAATGCAGCAAAGACAGGAGTAGCAAGGAGGAGGAGCGGGGGACGAACAGGGACGAGGGACGAAGGCAGCAAGGGGCGGTGTACATAATTGTACCATAACGCTCAGGAATGTTGTATGAGTATGTTGGGTTACGGGTTGGGGTGTATGTTTGATTTGTGTGACGCGTGTTTCCTTTCTTGTACAGGGCGAGAAGCTGTTGACGCATACAAGTACAGCACAACCGACAGGTGGCGGGGAGCTGCAGTACACCATGCAAGCCGAGCGTGCAGCTGGCAAAGGGCTCGTGCTGGAGCTCATGCAGATCCAAACCGCCTGCGGTTTGTAAATACGGCTCGGTGCCCCGAGCAGGGCCCAAAATTGGTTTAGGCCTACTCTTCCAAATCAGGGGACCAGCCCCTCGTAGAACAGACCCCTAGGGTAGAAATTTCCGTAGCCTGATTTCAGCAGGGTAACTCGGGCACTATGCTGATTTGAGCAGGGTAGATTTGGGCCAACCCTGTTTTGGTTACTGTTTTGTTTGCTACGGGTTTAATAAAATCAGAAATAATGTAATACACCCAAAGTCCAACTCCACTGAAAGTCACACATGAACTACACACCTACTCAGTGCCACCCCCACTGCCTACATCTTCTACAAACTGAGTCTGTGAAGCTCTGGAGGCGTCGAACTCCCTGGTGGATCGCCGCAGCTTCTCTCCACGAAAGATAGCGACCACCTCAAACCAGTTAACATCGTACCGCAGCAGGGAGCAACGCATCAGGTGCTCCAGGCTTGTGTCGCCAAGGCTGCCACGGCCCCACGTCTTGATCAGATTCTGCTTCGAGAAGCCACGCTCGCATTCGACCGTGCTCAATGGCAGCACGGCCACTGACTGCCACATCCGCATGATGTTGGGGAAGGAGACACGCCATGCATCATCCCGCAGCATGTTCGTCAGCGCCTGGTGGAATTCCTCGTTGTTGTGCTGGGCGAACATTGTGGATGTAAACATCCACAGCTCCTGCTGGGCTCTCTTGTAGTCGAACCCTGTGGTGGGGCAGAGTGCGGGTGAAAGCTAAGCCGATGCTCGCAGACACGGGTACGCGTGGGGGACATTAGTCCAACAGGCCGCAGTATGCAGGATGTGCAATTGGTTAACCTCATGTCAGGCATGAAAGTGACAACATACATCATAACTTGTGCAAGCGCCACAGAATGCTTACCTGGCAGCTTGTGGTGGTACAACTTGTGCAGTTGTCCGAGCCACTTCTTGAAGGTTTCCAGTCGCTTCGTGTCGTCAGATACGTACGAGGCAGTGCGAAACAGCTTCGAGCCTTCCAGGAGCTCCAGGTCGTGCATCCGCCACTCCAGCTCCTTGTCAATGGCGCGCACGTACTTGATCGACAGCTCGACGCACGCCATGACATCGCCTTCCGTCTCGTGTCCAGGCAGCGGGCGCTCGTGCAGCGTGAACTCGAACGTGACGGGATTCCCTTCCCCGTCCACGCCCTCCGCCTTCATCTCGCGCTTGTCCTTTGCCCCGTGCCTCTGAATGAACTCGGGAAGCTGCATTTTCTCGCCAGCGCCGAAAGTGTGTGCAGGGTCGCGGAGGGAATACCGCGTCTTCAAACGCATCCTTGTCTGCTGCACGATGTGCGCAACAAGGGTGACGTCCACCTGCACATGGGGATCGCAACGAGTTACTTAATACACCTGCTTGCAAGCGACAACATTGACGCCGGCAACAAAGACGCTTACCTGGCGCTGCTGGAATCGCAGGTTTAGACTGTTCAGCTCCCAAAGCACATCCGCCAGAAAGCGGATGAGCCAGTGGAACTTGAACGAGGTCACCACCTCGTATAGATCCGCCTTGTAATCCTTCAACACTACAATGGCCGCAGGGAGCACGTCTAGCAGGCGCTGTATCGCTTCACCGCGGGCGAGCCATCGTGTGTCGCTAATCCCCTGCGCCTCGAGGTTGGTTTGGCAGAAAATCCGCTGCATCTCTTGAAACTTCGCGTAGTCAACGCTGCTGCGTCTGATGTGGTCAGCGAAGGCGCGCACGACGTCGTCGATCATTCGTAGGTCAGGTACCTCTTCTGCAGCATCACTGGCAGCGAGTGCCTCCCTGTACAATTGGAAACAGGACATGTCGTTAGTCAGCGTCAGCACAGTGGTAAACGAGCAGCAGGGAGCACACAACCGTGATGCTTACCGATGCGCGATACAGTGTGTTGAAGCCAGATGCGGGATGCGCATGCGAAGACGTGTCACGACTCCACGGTTCTTGCCGACCATGACGCTGGCACCATCGGATGCGACGCTGGATATCTTCTGGAGATCCAGCCCGATGCCTGTCAGATACTGCACAACAGCGGATGTGAGTGAGGC